CATATTGCAAGAATGTTCTTCATAACATTACAACTAATTGTTTAATTCTATAGTATTTATTTCATACTACTGAATAAACTAACGTGTACATACTTCTAATGTATTGAAATTAATTCAAAAAAATTGGAAGCACAAAGTATTCATTTAACCTGTATAAACAGATTGAAAACTGACATACTCGGGTATTTTTTATATTCAACCATTTCAACCCCTATCCGGGTCGACCCATTGAGTGTCGTCCAAGATATACTCATATACTACCTATCGCTTTTCTTCTTCTTTACCAGCTCTTCAACCAGAGGTCTCACCGATCTGCAGATTCATCACCGATATTACTATACGTATGTCGGTAAGTATCTCTCTTTCAAATATGTCTGCATAATTGATCGAACATGTATTTAATGCGTGTGAATTGCGGAGCAGATCTTCGAGTACAACGGGAGTGCCCTAGTGGCGATGGTGGGGAAGAACTGCTTCGCCATCGCGAGTGACCGCCGGCTCGGTGTACAGCTGCAGACCATCGCCACTGATTTCCAGAGGATTTACAGAATTCACGGAAAGCTGTTCATTGGCCTCTCCGGCCTGGCCACAGATGCCCAAACCTTGTGCGTCCAATTTCTAATTCCATTTGTAGTTTCGGATGATTGGTTTTTACGTAGCATTTTATGTTTTTTTTTTCAAAAGTAATTGAAGGTGAATTAGGTGAAAATCGTTCTGTTTTGTTCTTAATGATCTATTAATTTCCCAGGTAAGGATCAAACAAAGGTGAAAACTTTGTAATTCAGTGGAAGTTTGAAAGTCTCCGTACTCTATTTTAGTTTTTCTTTTTCAAATTTGAATGGTAAAGGCTATAGGTTATCTGCATAAGAATACAAGGCAGATAGAGGAGAGTCCCCAATAAGCAATTTGATCCCTGTTAGACTGTTAAAATTAGCGCTGAAATTTGATTGTACCTTGTTATTAATATGCATACTATGATCATTTTAAATTTTTAAAAGATAGTATATAGGTGAATGATATGCATCTGTCTCTATAGGTATCAACGTCTTGTGTTCCGTCACAAGTTATACGAGCTCAGAGAAGAGAGAGATATGAAGCCTGAGACTTTTGCCAGCCTTGTATCTGCCATTCTATATGAGAAAAGGTATTGAGCTATCTGCTATTATATTGTGCAACTTATATGATCAAAATGTGTCAGCTTTGCTGTGTTCTGTTAGTCATATGTGAATGTGGTATCACATGTTTGCAACTTTGTAATTGCTAATTTAGTACTGAGTATATGTTTTATCGTCACAAGATTTACTTTTAAAAAGTGTAATTTAATACTGCTGAGCAGTATGTTTGGCCTTAAATAATTTTCCCATTTTCTTTTTTCATCCATCCCAAAATTAGTTCTCATTTTTGTTCAAGAAAACATTATGTGGTTCATAGCTCTTATTCTTTCTCTTTTCCCCAAATAAGCACACCAACTAAATAGTGTTCTAGTTCTGATTATGATTCTTTGTGTGCGGTTCAAGTAAATTTTTATTTAGGTACATAAGAGTTATCATCAAACACCTTTCCCCAACATAATATATAAATAATATAAAATGTTTTCTGGATTTTAGCTATTTTCTAGTCCAAGATAATGCAATCTATGGTTTTATTGGAACTTGCAAGTAACTGCCCAATATAAAAAAATGCTTGCTTTTTTTTTGGCCAAAAATGTCCGATTTTGATTTGAGAACTCACCCATGGCTCTCACAAATGGATGAATGTCTTTGAAGTATTTCTTAGCATTTGCATTGCTTAGCTATTTTTGGGACAATTTATGATTCACTTCTTTGATTCATCATGTTAATCCTTAGCCTGCACTTTTAAGGTGAATGTCACACATTACTTAGCTTCTGATTTATCTTGGGATAGTTTTACCAATCATGATTGATGATTTTAGATTTAAATCGTTTCTCTGATTTAGATTTGGTCCATACTTCTGCCAACCTGTAATTGCTGGTTTAGGAGATGATGACAAGCCTTTTATTTGCACAATGGATTCAATTGGAGCAAAGTACGTTCTGAATCTCCTTTCATTTTGATCTCATGCATTGTACTCTGAATCTCAATCTCCTATAGTTTTTTTTATCTCTTGAGCCCTTAGCACTGTCTAAATCTTCTTTCATTTTAATCTCCCGAGTCCTTAGCATTGTAATTTTTTTATGCATCATAAAGCTTTCAATTAAATTACTTGTCGGAAATATTCTCTCCTCTTTTTATGTAAACATTTTACTCTTAATTCAATTCTCTCCTCATTGGCACACAAGACATTATCTTGTAATGTCTCTGTTGTGAATGACATCATACTTGCATGTCTGAGGATAAACACCTAAAACTTAGTTATTGTTTAGCTTTGACACACCTTGGCTAAAACTTGTTTATGTTTTATGATTTGTTGGGTTGGAGATCCAAGTCCTTCAGGAAAAAAAGGAGCCAAAGTGTGACATTTCACAGAATAGTTGGGCGTCAATCACAGAATTTGTGTTTTGCTTTCAAGTCACATCCTAGTTTACTCTAATGATGATGAATTATTTGATGGGCTTGTGAAAGCAAGACTACTGCTCATAGAGTATTTTTAGGTGTGCGCATGCAAGACATTTTATTACTGTATTATTATTATTTCTAAGTGGGGGTCCTGTGATGTTCTTTGTTTTCGCCTGTTTAGCAACCAAAATTCCAATTTTTTTGGTGTATGGTGTGAGCTAGTAATTGATTCTTGAGACATGAAATTTGCAAATAAAGATATAAACACGGTAAGCAGTCATGTGAATGCCATGCAGGGAGCTTGCCAAAGATTTTGTTGTTGCTGGGACTGCTTCAGAATCACTATATGGAGCCTGTGAGGCCATGTTCAAGTCTGATATGGTTTGTTTCTGTCCACTCTGTGTCATTTTTACCATGATAATAAGCAATCAAGTTAAGATTCTTTTATGCCAATCTCTGTCATTGAACTTCATACAACCGATAGTCCGACACAGCAATTCATATTCTCTTGTTTTAGTCAATTATAACCAACTAATTTTGAAAGCATTTATATTATCTTGTTAGGAACCCGAAGAACTATTCGAGACAATCTCTCAAGCACTCATAGCATCAGTGGACCGGGACTGCTTGAGTGGTTGGGGTGGACATGTTTATGTCGTGTAAGTTTCCAGTCTCTCTCTCTCTTTCACTCTCTCTCTATGCCAAACTGTGTAGCAGTTTGTACTCTATTTTTCTTCAATACTGCATCTAGTAAGCTTGACACCTTCCCCTCCACCATGCATGCATCTTTTGAACTCAAATACGTCTGTTGGTATTCTCTTTGCAGAACGCCGACTGAAGTGACAGAGAAAATCTTGAAGGGAAGAATGGACTGACCATTTCGTATGAAGCCGGGATATCTATATCTTATTACATACATTTCCACCCTTTTCCCCAGTGCGGCTTCCGTACCAGTTTTCTACTACCAACCATTCAAGTTCTCTGTTTCTGATGTTTGAATGAACCCCTGGCATCAATGTCTATTTACAACGTTATTTCTTTTTCGAAAGTGTATTTTACCATTTTCCCTATTTTGATTGTTAACGATTTTAGAAATGTTGGCAAGAGACGTTTAAAGACTGCGTAGTTGCCTCAAACTCCGTATTGTTTATGAAATATTCGTATTTGTAACCTATTAGATCTACACTTTCAAAGACTTTTGACGTGTTTGATTTTAATGGGGCTTTGATGGCTAATTTTTAGGTGCCCAAAAAATTACATGTACTCTTTTTACATACATGAAATGATTGATATGATTTATAAACCTAAATACTCCGTAATTCTTATTGTTTTGGCTTATCATGTGTAAAATTTTAAACTACATATTTAAAAATTACTCCGTATATTAGAAGCTCTATAAAATAAGTATGTTAACTTATAAAATGAATAATAAAAATTGGTAAATAGAGTAATTAGAGTTTGACCATATGAATAATATTTGGAAAGAAAATTTTAAAATGAAAGAGTACCATTTTATCAATTTATTTAAAGTTTATTTTTATTAATTTAATGAGTTGATGAAGCTTGTATGAATCTCTTGAATCTGAGGTTAATCATTTGACCAAGGGCTGTGGTAATGGTCTTAATGCCCGCTGCGTTATTTCGCATTTTGATGCCAAGCGGCGTTAAACACCGCCTCATCCCTCGTTAACCGGGTGTCATTAACCCTGCGTCAAATGTTTGACGCGCGTTGGAGCGCAAAAATAACCGTTGAATCCCCCCTCCCTAACGACTATAATGCCGTTGGGCTAAAAAAAATTCATCTCCTCCATCTATAAATTCAATCTATATTTTTAAAAATCAACACACAGCACAAATAAAAATATCTCTCTCTTCTTTTTCTAAAAAAATTATTTAAGCATTTGTTTTTATTTTTAACATGAATCTCTTCAGTTTTAACGTTCCTTCGTCCGGTCTCGGCCCAACGAGGAAGCGATGTGGATTTTCCAGTCATACGCTGGTAATCTGTCGATGTATGATATGCAAACCTCGGTAAATCTCAAGGACCCGGAGTCCGTTCCGGAGACTCAACCGTAATCAAGTGCACCAACCTCGGTAAATCTTCAGGACCCGGAGTCCGTTCCACAAATCGAAGGGCGACAGGTACCAGTTTGAAGTCTCGAGACTTCAAACTCATTTCTAGTGAAACTGTTAAGTAAGTTAAAGCAGACGCGACAAGGAAAAGTTTTAAAGTCCCCGTTTGAAGCCCCAGAGTTTCAGGGACATTACCAGGGCTCTAATGTTGCATTACATCACTTCACAAATTTGATCAAAAATCACTAGCTTTGATTTTCAAAAGCCATCAAAAGTTTAAAGTTGAAAGCAAGATGGCAATTTGCAAGTGGATTGTTTTTTATCTCCAAATGATTTCCTAAATTAATGGTTTACAATTTGCAAAGGAGTACATAAAATTGTGGATGGAAACACGACACATCTTAGAGGCAATACGCACCATGGCCATTTTGTACGTCCAAGTCACTACATACTCTAGTACGGAGTATATGTAAATCCTCACTCCGGCGGCGGCGGCGGGAATCCGACGGTTATGAAAATCTTTTTGCAGCCGCGTACGGCGGAGCTCTGAGATTCCCCTCGCAGCTGCGCGCCAGCCACATCCGTACAAATCTTATCTCCTTCATCTTCCTTTCAATAACCGGCTAAAATGGCTGCCGCCTCTGTTCCCTGGCTTCAATTTCCGGCTCAATCATTTCACTCCAATTCCACCATTTCTTCCGCCAGATTCAAACCTTTATCCATTTCATCATCTCCCATATTTTCCGGCACGTCTCTCTCTCTCTCTCTCTCTCTCTCTCTCTCTCTCGTTCTCTAACGGAGCGTCATTAGAGTTGGAGTTTTATTGACTCCAGGCTTTAATTTTGCAGGGAATCCGGGGAGGTATTGTGTAATTAGGTGTACTTCATGGAATGAATGGAAGCAGGGTAGCTCTTCCACTGAGGCGAGGAAGGTCGAGAAGGTTCGGGAAGAAAAGCGGAGAGAAGAAAAGAGGAGGGCTGAACTCTATGCTCGAATTGCTTCCGGGGAGTTCACTGCTGAGCAATCTGGGTATGTAAGTTCTAGGGCTTTGAAGTTTGAATTGATCGCTGGCTTAAAGGGTTAGATAAGTATGGAATTCCTGTAAGATTTTACCTTGTCATGACCTAAATTTGTGTGTTGTTTTCACTGAAGTAAAAGAAAATATACTGATTTTCTTCGTTGTTATGAATTCAGTTTGCTTTTTGTTATATGGAACCAGGATTTCATCAATCCTTATCAATGGGCTGGCAAGATTGGGTGTCCCTAGGGCATTTCTTGAATATCTGTTTAAGCTATTTGGTGGCCGTGAAGGGTATCCTCGGATTCCAGAGGCAAAAGGATCCATTAAGGCCATTAGGAGTGAGGCTTTTTTCATCCCACTTTATGGGCTTTACAGAACATATGGTGGGATATTCAGACTGACAATTGGTCCCAAGGTTTTTTTTGTTAATTTTTATTTTTTGCTCGTATCCTTATTGATATATATCCGGGAGCATGCCCAAAGACTCTCCGTAGCCCGCCAAGGGAAAGACAGATCAGGGGAATAAAGCCCAAGTGTGGTGACATTAATTGGGTTGAAACTTCTCCATTTTCCTGTCTTAGAACCCAACCCAACACCATGGTTGTCCTACACCCACCCTAGGCTGAGCCCACTCTCCATACCTTCCCTAAACATCCAAAATATTTCCTTTTCAAAATAAAGTTTTCCTACTCCTATTTTAGGCCCTGGCCGAAAATAAGAGTGTGTAAACCACAACCTTTGTTTGTTGTTATTTTCTTTCTTTTAAACCTTTTAATAAACAAATAAAACCTTCTATCCTTTTCTATAAATCCCAGGCCAAATATCCCTCATTATCCCAACACAACATCAACCAAGATATTCCCCATTCTTATCCCCTTTATGTTCCCTACTAGGGCTGAATAAACAACCACAAAAAGCCAAGGGACATTTGAGTTGTTGTTGATACACCACCTACTAAATCAGTCACCTCATATGACCAAGAATATAAGGCCAATACACCATCCATCACCCATCTTTGTTTGTCCCCTCTTTTTAGCCAGAATATCC